CATCTGCGTCTCTGCCTTCTAGCCGCGCGACAGGCCTCCTGTCGAGTATCCATCATTGGTCGCCATTGGAAGTGAATGTTGGGGTGGAAGTGGTTGGTTCAATGGCTAAATAAGGGAAAAGGCTAAATAAGGGAAAAGGCTCAAAATCTGCAGAATGGGATCTCCTATTTTGCCCCCTGATTTCTACGATAGGTGATGCCATCACTATCGACAGCCTTCCTCTTCCTATGTTCACTCTCTCGCAGCCTGTAACCGCCCCACCAGCGATAGTCCGAGTCTGCCACCTAGAAGAGCAAAGTGTCATGAATGCGGCCGTCACCACTGGTAGGACTGTGCTGGACCACTTTGGGACTCCCTTTGCCGCGGAAGCAGCACGTTGCACTGGAGGGCTGGATCCAGTTTGTCGTGTTTGCCTCTAATGTTCTAATCGTAAGTGAAATGTGATTTTTGAGTTTCGAAATCAATAAGTAGTATAATAAAAAAATAAAACAATAATAATAAATTAATAAGCGTCGCTGTTTTAGATGTTAATCGGTGTCTGTGATGGAGTGGTGCGAAATTTGTTCAGCCTTGTGCCACCAGAACTGCTCACTTCGTATGGTGTGAAGAAGCTGTTCCTAGTTGGCTCTGCTAAGAAGGATCGCTTTCTCGTTCATATTCGGCGATATCTTGAAGAACGTGAAGTCCTTGATCAGATAGAAGCTGGTGCCAGCCGAGACCGACACATCTGCTGCTTATGGTGTGGCTTTATGACTTAGGCTTTGATTTACCTTCTATTTTTCTCCTTGTGATATTTCCCTCGTCACTTTCCATTTCTCTATCACTTTGTTTACATATGGTAGGATTTCACTGGCAATAAACCTGGGTTGTGAAGTTATTGATCGGCTTTTTACGAGCTTCTGATCTCGAAAGAATACTTTTGTGCCTTTTATGGTGACGCATCAGGTGCAAATAATGAAAAAAAATCCGATCGCACATATTCGTCGTCATAGGATGCGCCATGCATTCGCAAGACTCCATCTACGTTGTCGAAGTGACTGGAAGCGTGAGGTATGATCACTGTCGTGAAAGCCAACCCCAATGTGATGGGGGGGGGGATAGAGGAAGTGTGTGGCAATTTTTTCGGTCTACTTAACATTGCTTCTCGCCTGATGTTTTTTTAGAAAAAAATATGAGAAAATGGAATTACCCAGTGGGAATGCAGAGCTAACGTGGCGTGTTGTCGGATACCTTATGTACTCGTTCCAGGTGCTCATGTAGTTGGAGGGGTTGTGCAGTAATTTCTGCTGATTACAGTGATCCCAACATTCAAAGGGGAGTGTAGCTCCGGAATGAGTGAGTTGCTGCCGGGACTGCATATTTTTTCCTCGCATAATATTAAAAAATGTTCTGCACGAATTCAAGAATGCTGGTTGCTCAAAACATTCCCCTCTCCTCTGTCCCTCTCCAGCCAGACTGCATGAAATTCGTTCCCTAGAGTCAAATGAAAGCCTAATTGTCCCAAAGGCTCAAAGTTCATGGAAAATTCGCACTGCGAAAATCAGCTTAAATCGAGGGATTTTTCGTTTTCAGCCTCTTGAATTTTTTTCGCTCTACTGAAGTGCGCTCTTATCATGGAATGGTCCGCTTTTGCGGGGGCTGATATTTGTGGAAATGGTTCTTTTTTTGTGTGGTACAGGGTTAAGCGCCTCTTCGGATTTTTATGATCCACATCCCTACCCCGCCTTCTGAGAGCATCCCTGATACACACCACTCCAACGATCAATAGTACCTGTGACAGTGTTGAACTCTGGGTCTTATCGACACACTTCGAAACTCCAACCGCAAAACGCAAACCGTAGAACGGAAGGGCGCAATATGAATATTGATAGCAAAGTTTTCAGAATTTCTCCGAACTTCGCTGAAGTTTTCTCAGTTCTCGAAGAAATGCTTTCTATTTCTCCCATGTCCTCCAAATACAACCTTTCTTCTATGAGGTTTTCCTACCGGGATGGGCTACAAAAGACTTTCATATAAAAAGCGCTGTAAGGGGGGAGGGGGGGGGGGAGGCGGAGTGCCAGGTCGATTCACTGAAAAGAGACACCATGTCCATGAGCAGATACCTCGAAACTCCACTAAGAAGTTAGGTGAAAAATCTGTCGAAGTTCCGCTTCGAATTACGGTGTACAAGGGTGGACCACTATCTCATGTCAGATCGATAAAAGAGACACCACAAGGCGTTCGCCACCCTTACCCCACATCCATTTTTTTTTGATTTTTCATCGATCATCCGTAAAAAAATCTCTCAGGTTCGAATCGTCCTCAGCCTTAGGTGAACAGCATCAGTAAGCGGACCAGCTTCAAACAATCCAGAAAATTCTCGACTTGAAGGGATGAGAAGTCTCTGAAAAACTACTCGAGAGTATCAGAAATTTGGTTTACACGGGGATGGAATGGGTCGGGTCACAAAAATGATCTGCGCTATCAAAATTGGATATCGATACGGGCGCGAAACACCTACACGACGCGGCCACCTTGCGCGCGAACCTGCCCCTGGCCATGGGTGGTTCGTTTTCTCCTTTCTATTCCCGACTGTCGCGATTATTTTTACTTTTATTGACTTCAGGGTCAAAATAAATGGTTCGGTACTTTCAATCGGGAGGGGGTGGGGGGGGGGGGTGAGGGCAGTCATTTGACATGCGTGAGAAGTTGAGTGTGCCCACCCTACTTGTATAGAGCCCACAAAATGTATGTAAGTGGGACTGCTGCCCGCTACTATACTGTCACGAGAATCGGGGAATTCGTGAGCCAGGGGGAGTGTAGCCAATCTAGGGGTGGGGTGAGGGCAGTCACTTGACATGCGTGAAAAGCTGGGCGTGCCCACCCACTTGTATAGAGCCTCCATTTTACTTCAGTGGATCGATTTTGGGAATTTTTAACATCGCTCTTCAACCTGAATGTCCTGTTTTCAGATCGATGCGGTGTCAGAAAAGCATTTCTCATATTCCCTGTTGTGGCACCCTTGTAACAGGTCAGGAAAATTGTTTTCGATCTTTATACAGTAAACTGGACAAATTTTTGCGTATGTAGCGATTTTTTCATAGAGAATTTGAGTCTTCAGTTTCAGCCTCGTGTGTGACAATTTCGTTGGATACGATGTAAGGAGATGCGCAATCGAGCTGAATTCCTTCACCAACCCACAAGACAAACCAGCAAGCGGCCATAGGCGCTATGGAACGAAAGCCTTCTATTTTTTTCATCGCTCCAATGTAGTTTGTTTCAGACTCTCAGGGCGGTCATGGTCCAGGTCGCGCTAGACGGAATTCCAGGAATGAAAAGACTGCCCCGCAGGACGTCGCATCAGGTAAGGTCTATCTGTCTGTCCGTGTCGTGTTCTGTGTTGTCCTTGTCTGCTCCCCGGTGCCATGCACGGCCAGTCAGGGTCAACCCTATGTTGGTACAAGTACCAATGGGGGGGGGTCGTTTATTGTCCACAAGGTGGGAGGGGGGGTCGCAACCGCAGTGATCAGCTGAGGAACTAGTTGATTGGGGCAGGGACACCACGCGAAACGAATAATACTTCCGCGCTTCCAGGTTCTTGTCCCGTTCATATATTACTTGAAGTTTCCACACAGAGAAGGGGGTCGTAACAAGGCCGGCGGCGGGTGTAAAAATTTTCAGAAAGTACCAATGGTAGGGTTGACCCTTTGTCTAGTGGGTGTCAGTCTGCGCCAGTCCTTGTTGAGCCCTCTGTTCGTGTCTGCCCCCTTCCATGTGCATCTGACCGTCCGTGCGCCCGTCTGTCCACCACTGCGCCCTTTCGTCTGTGTGCCCTCCACCAGGGTCAACCGTCTGTTGGACAAGGTCCAACGGTGGGGGTCGTATCGAGGCTCTGCCCTCCAGAGAGGGGAGGGTCGTAAAATTTTTGAAATTTGTCCAACGTGACTGTTGACCCTGCCTCCACCCCTGTTCCCTCTCATAGCTGTCCGACCGCCCTTCCGTGTCCATCTGCCCGGCTGTCTGCGTTCTGGACTCGTCTGTGCCTATCTGTCCCTCTGTGCCCCTCTATCTACTTGCCTATCTGCGTGTCGGTGCCGTCCACCCTCGATTCTTCCTTGCTGTCTTCATAAGGAGTTGGCATCCTGCCCGGTAATTTTGTGATCAAGTTGCTGCTTGCGGAAAATCTGGCGGTACGGAGGAAGGGTGAGCGTGAATAGGTTAGAAGAGTGGGAGCAAGGAGGGTGGATCTAATTCGCCTTCTTCATTCGTGCTCTGTGTAGTAGTAGCTGTAAACCAACCTTCAAGTTCTACCTTTCGGCCCGACTCGGACGAAATATTTCCACTGGAAGATTGGATTTGGTTGTATAGGGGATTTTGAAATCTAACCATATTCGGATTCGTTATTAATTTTTTTGAGAGGGAGGGGCTCTGATTGGTTGCTAGTAAGAGAAAGACGGTAGAGAAAAAGATGGAGACCAGAGAGGTCATGGCGGGGAGGGGAAAGAGCGTGAAATGTGTAGAGGCGTTAGGGTCAAAGCGATGCAAGTGGGAGGAGAAATCTGGTTACCTTCTTCGTTAGTGCCCTGTAGCAGTCGCCGCGGCTCGGTTATCTTTCGGCCACTGTTTTCATGAAATCCGCTGAAAAGTGTGGGAGGGGAAATATTTCTATTCGGATTCATTAAATTTTCTAACTTACAACAGACAGGGGAGAGATTATGTTTGTTGCAATCGGGGGCACGGTCAATCCTGACGTGGGTGTTTTTCAAAAATTTTACAACACCCCCTCCTTCCCAGCGGCACACCTCGATGCGGCCCACACCACCACCATCACCACCAGGTCACGGAGCAGGGCCCCCTAACAACGGCGACTTCAGTGGGTAAGGTACACAGAGCACGGTTGAGAAAGAGGCGGGCAGATGGGCAGAAAGCAGAATGAGCGAAA